TCATTTTCACTACCAATCCATCCTCACAGTACCCAGTATATCAATCCTAGCATTCCTGCTACTATTTCTGTATTTTTCCGTATTTTTATCCTCCATCATTCTCTCCCTATTCACCTATCTATCTGCCCTAGCCCCAGAGCCCATGCCTAGCCACATACCCTGCATACAGCTATCCTAGCCCTAACGCACAATTACCATCCATTTTCCTACACTACCCCCTACCCATTCCCAAACCACCCCGCTACCCCGGGGCCACCCCATACCCATCCACCTATTTTTCCACGCATTTTTTGCCTATTTGTTCACCCATTTTTCCGGCCAGAATACCCACCAGCAGCATTGATCTTTAATGAAGAGCCCTTATTATCCCAGGCCATTAAGATACTGCACTCTTTGTAAAGAGTGCCATGCTTATTACAGGCACTCTTTATAAAGGCGGTACAGCATCTGGTAGACGAGTGGGGGGTGTCACGACCACACCAGAACAACCATATCCTACAAAGAGGGGTTGCTGGCAGGCGATCTCTCACTCAGAAACACACACCAAGGGCGAGGAAAAGGTTGTATAGGGGGGAGACTGACGATCTCAAGACTAGAGTACAAAACAGGAAGTAGGTAGGTTTATATACTAGCCAGAACCAAACACAACCAAACCCAGGCCACAGTGGCACAGAAACTCGGAAAAGTGTGGCCCAACTGTGGCACCCACCAGGAAATAATAGAAAAGGCATGGAAATGACAAAAGGTCATGACAGGGGGTATTAATGAACCACAGGTTTGATATACCATACAAGAAGGGCACATACAATGTACTTCGCAACATTTATGCATGCATATATCGAGGTTTCTTCAGGTTCCCGATGACAAGAAGTCCCAGTCTGTGAAGTCCCCCATCCCCATCATCTGACCACCTGCACTCATGCCACCAAAGTCCCATCCAAGCAAATTCACATCGGGGAATGCGAGTGTTGACGGGAACGAAGAAGTGGAGGCAATCGGTTGTATGTCGGCTTGGTCAAGTTGGGTGAGAAGCGACGACCAATCATCTTGCTCGAGGTTATCGATCGTGCCAGGTTGAGCGGCGGGCTGAGTGATGAGCAGCGACAAGCTCGTGCTATTGACTGTGCTGGTTTGAGCGGGGACGTGGTCGTTGTTGGGTGCGGGTTTATTGACACAAAAAGTGCGGGCGTACGTGATTAGCTCGACAAGTGCATCCTTCGTGATTTGGTTACGTAGAGTGAGTAGCGGATATGTGGCGATGAATAAGAACATACCCAGAAGCTTTGGCCTTTGCCGTGTGAGCCTTCTTAGGGGCGGGCTTACCATCCTCTGTCTCCTTCCCCTTACGCTTCTTGTCGTTGGCCATGGTGGTGGTGGTGGAGAAGAAAGTGAGAGAGCGGCAAGTGTTGTTTTGTTTAAAGCACGAACCCACAAACTTGGTGTCATTCGCTGTCTCAGTGCGACAGCACGGAAGCAATTTCATTCATGCACTGTTCGCTGTCCCCAGGCGACAGAAGAAGGTCAAGCCCAGTGTAAGCTAGGTACAATCCAACGTGTCAGTGCTGTAGCGGGGCACCCTTCGCATGGAGGATCATACCTAAAGCTCAGCTGCAATGTGGACCTCCCTCAAGCATAGAATTGAGAGAAATAGAAAAGAGTAGACATATACCATGTAATCAAAGTACATTGCTCAGGCTCTAATTGTCCATCCTCCTCCCTCAATACAAGAGACACACCAGTGGAAGTAGTCAGTAAATAAAATGTATAAAGGAGAGTTGTGACACACCTCATACTAGAAAAGAGTCTAGAAAGCAAGTGATGGAGCAAGCTAGATAGAGGGAGGCCGAACAGGGAACATGGGAGTTAGAGAAGAAGTCGGGACAACACAGAAATAAGCGAGTTCAACCACAGCAAGTCAATCAAACTCTGACTGACTCCGCTGTGACGTGGCAAAAGGACAGTGCTCGGGTGTGGGAAAATCTCGGCAGCGCCCGCAATTTTGGTGTGCGGGCAACTCCGGTGTGCCACACGCTGCCTATCTTTGCCACTTACTGCTTGTTCATCTTGTCTTGTCTCAGATATTTACCTCAAACTTAGTGAAGGTGTTCTTATAAATATTATGGCTTGCCATGGGTCTGACTGTGGGCACAAATCTGACTACCGGGTCTTTACGCATGGGTTTTGGTCAATTAATTCATAGAAATATTGAATAAATATTCAAACACTTGAAAGATATTGGAAATACAGTTTTTGGTGCTCTGGGACACCACAGAGCACTCAAAACATTAAACATTGTTTAAAAGGCAAAAAGAAAGTTGTGGGTCCCAGAAGGTGAAACCTGGACCCATATCTTGCAGGTCCAGGTCCAAAACACTGTAGACTGTATTTGCATACCTGTGGCAGACACTATTAAATGTCAAAGCCATTCTAGAAGATATGTGGAAAGCACTGCACATTGTATGAGTGATTGATAACATGCTCAAGCCAGTATGTGAAGTACATGAATATACATATAATTACATGGGTGGTCATGGCCATGTATACCAGTACATGGAAGGTGCATGGAAATGGAGACCACTTGCATGGGTGCTCATGGACATGTCTATACAGTATTGTCAGAGTATTCCTATCGACATCCATCCTATAAAAACAATGTCCATATCCATCCATGCTGTATGTGCATGATCCATGGCCTCCATGTGAGGCCATGCCCATGATCTTTCTGTGGTGCTGTACCATGATGTAGTTAGCACAGACAAGTCAGCTCACACTGGGGTAATGTGCTTGGGAACATGTGAAGGTAAGGAACCGCCAAGGCTGCCCAACCAACAAGAGATTGTGTTAATTCAACAGAGAATGAATAGAAGGCAAGTCACCAATGGCACTTGGCTGCAAAGGTACCGTAGAAACCTAGATAGGTTGGATGATGGTCATGGAGCAGACACCTCTTGGGACGGGGATAATGTGCGAGGCGACGTTAGAAGCGGAGGCAAAGTCGACATCGCCAACGAGACGACAATATAGACCAGCTTACCAGGGATGTAGTTAGTGCCGATGTTGACGGCCACAGCACTGGGCTTCAACCAGGACTCTTGAACAAATTCCGTCTTGCCGATATCCAAAACGACAAACTAGGCAGTTTTAACCTACGTAATACTGTGAGCCTTTCC